ACTGCTGTACAGAGGGTCACAACACTTTTCAAGTGTGTACAAATATTTAACATTGTCCTTTGCTTCATTAGCTGCATCAGTGATTCGAATATCTGTCTCCCGCCACATCTAAGCACAATACATAAAGGCGATTTTAATGCAGTTACTAATAGAAGAGCTTCCAACGTAACCAACAGTTGCCTGGACTCACCACAGAGCCAGTGGGCACAAGTTCCACTTTGCTCTATGCATCTTGCGTAACACCGAATCCAGAGGGGACTGGATATCACTACACTGAAGAGCAATTTAAAACTTGCAACTAACTTTTCAAAAGCATCTTTTCCAGACTTCTTTTCTAAGGTCTAACCCATGACAAGCAAAGAGGGTCAAAAGGGCAGCACCACCATTTAAGCTCATTTTCTGTATTTCCTCTATTGTCAGCTGAACTTCCTTTCCTATAACCCTGTGCTTTTGTTTATCTGCTAAATGTAGTAATTATCTATTATCTGCCAACCATATGCTGGGATTGTGCTATGAGCTAAGAACTTTAAAATGGAAAGATGATCTAAAAGCAGAAGAAGCAAAAAGAACTGATTTAGCACAGATTGATACATTCAATTGACTGCATGGAAGTCAGACTGATAGTATTTCTGCACTGTACTCCAAGGGCCACTTCTCCTATCTCTTTGAGCAATGATATAAGGTGAATCCAGAGCACACTGAATTACTTGCATGGACTAAAATATGCAAATGACTGATAACATCCATGCAAATGGCCCATGAAGGGCATGCATTGACTCAATGTGTACAAAAGCAAAGTGTGTAAACAAAACATGTGTGCCCTCTAATATTCTGAAGTTTAAAAAAAGAGACTTTATAGCATCAATGTCAGGAGAGTTAGGCAGCCTCAGATGGTCTCCAAAGATCACCAACTCCTTGTTCATGCTCTTGTGTTATCTCTTCCTTCATCCTGGGGTGAATCTAGTAACTGCTTCCAACAAATAGAATGTGACAAATTGGTGGGTCATCACCTCTGGAATTAGTTTACATAGACTATGGCTTCTGCACTGAGTGTTCTCTTGCTCTCTCTCTTGCTTCTCTAAGGGAAGCCAGCTACCATGTCATAAGCTTCCCAGTGGAGCGGCCCATGTGGCAAGGAACTAAAGGAGGCCCCCAGCCAACAGCCAACAGGGAACTGCATCCTGCAACAACCACGTGAGCTGGCATAGCAGCAGCTCTTCCCCGATTGAGCCTTCAGATGAGCCCACATCACCACTGCAACATCATGAGAAACTCTGAATCAGAAGCACCCAGCTAAGCTGCACCCCAGATTCCTAACCCACAGACTATGAGATAAAAATGTGTATTATTCAGCTCAATTTACAATCGCCAAAATGTGGAAACAACCTAAATGCCCACCAACCCAGAAATGGATTAACAAACTGTGGTATATGTATACCATGGAATATTACTCAGCCATTTAAAAAGATGGAGACCTTATATCTTTTGTAACTTTGATAGAGTTGGAACACATTCTTCTTAGTAAAGCATCATAAGAATGGAAAAGCAAGAATCCAATGGACTCAACTCTACTATGAAGCCAGTAGATGATCTAATATATACCCACATAAGACAAAAACTCAAATCAATTCAAGGTGAGGGGTAGCAGAATTAGGGTGGGGAGGAGGGAGAAAGGATGGGGGGTCACTGTGTATGGCATATCTCTTGGGGGCAGGACACAACTATAAGAGGGACTTTATCTGACAAATGCAAGCAGTGAAACCTGATTCTTTGTACTTCAATGAACCTCAACCAACTAATAAATTTTTTTAAATGCATTGTTTTAAGCTGCTAAATTTTATAGTAGTATTTTTGCAATGTAAAATAAATATACCAGAATTTAAAAATACATGTAAATAAGGTAATTTTTCATTATTACTACTTCTAGCTGGTCAGAATTCACAATTTATAAATATACCCAAAATCATATTACCATGCTGTTCCTCAATTACATGTAATATCCTCTAATAATACTTATACATACATGTACACTAGCCAAAAAGTGTTTTTCATCCAAAGGCTATTTCCACAGCATCCAAAATTATCAGAGGGTGTATTAGCCAATGTTAAGTTTTCCATAAAGGTGTAATAACATTTTCTTGTTTCTAATTAGTCTGTAACATAAATATACACATAAGAGAATTCTCATTTGTATTTCATAAGGCAAAAAGAAATGGCTGATAACCTTCAGCAGTTTTGACTTGGCCGCAGCGAGCACGGCCAGCGCAGCCTTCACATCGGGGCTTTTCAACTGATCCAAAAGGTAGTTGAACTTGGCGAGTCTCTTTTTCCAGTGCTCCAACTCTGCTCGTGGTCCAGCATCATCTGCCTCCTTCCTCAGCTGATTGTTTTCAGCAAGAACCTGAAAAAGTGTGGGAAACACATGAACCACAGTGGGCAGCTGGAGATAGGACAGTCATACATGAGCAAAAACATATGCAAAGATTATGCTGTCTGCATCATGCTGTAGTCATATTAGTTTACATGACTGAATGACAGCCCTTTGCTAACTTGACATATATCCATTTTCAAAACTTCAATAAAAATGTATTTGGCTGGAGGGAGGGGGATTCGAGGGTTCACTTCTGTGGTTTATCTTACAAGGGTACAAGTGAATCTTTCTATGAGTAGAATATGAACGTTTTAACACAATAACTAAGAAAATGACACGAAGGCTATGTTACCCAGTTTGATGGAAGTATTTCGGATTGTGTGTGAAAACACCACACTGTACCCCAGAAGTGCATTAAGGTACACAGTTACCATTCAATTTTAAAAAAATGTATTTGGCTTGTTCTAACTGAAACCTTTTTTTTTAATTTTTCCCATTTAAGAATAGTTTATATTTCAGGGGGTTTGGGGAAATTTTTTTATTTTACTGATCCATAATATACTACATACTTATGGGATACATGTGAGTATTTGTTTCATGCATATGTAATGATCAACTCAAAATATGTGGGTACCATCCCTTGAGTACTTATCACTTCTGTGTGCTGGGAACTTTTCAAGTTCTCATTTAGAGCTACTATGAAATATGCAATATATTGTTGCTATCTCTAAGCATACTGCTTCACTATTGAAAACTACTTATTTCATGTGTTTTAATGAGCTTTTAGAGTCCCTGACCTCAGGAAGTTTTCTTGGCTATTTGGCTTACTGTATAATCCTACAGCGATGTGACCTTGGAAACCCCACACCTCAGGCTAATTAATTTTACTTGTATTTACTTTTCCATGTAATGTCCACCTTTTTTCCTTCACTTAGGACTTTTTCAAAAACGTCTTTCTAAAGGTTAAGTCTCCAGCTCCCTTTCTGAGGACACACGGCAGTAGAAGACTCCTCATATTTGTACAACGATTCTCTCCGAAGTAAATTAGATTTCAAGGAAAAAAACTGGTGAAGCCCAGGGGATGTACGAGGCCACTTACTTTCATCTCCTAGAATTCTCACTGTCTCTTCTTACCCAGTGACTATCAGTGAAAGCCACACTGAACCTCTCACTTTTCAAGGGCTCAGAGTAAAATACTCAGGCGAATGAAATGCCACCTTCTTCTGTGGCTAGTCCAGTGATGTGGCACCTGAAACTGACACTTAGCTTCTGAAAATCACCTGTTCCGTCTGTTTGATCCACACTTTCATACAATCCTCTATTTTTTCCAGTGTCTCGGGGTTATTGGCTAGAGTCAAGTAGTCCACAGGTTCCTTCAGAGTTTTTGGATCAAATACGTCACACTTCTGAAGGTTCACCTAGTTAAAATAAAAATTCAATATAAGATGCTGCTTTTTAAAACACACACACACACCTGTGTGTTTTACACTTCACTATATTCTGACAGAGTTCTGGAAAGCCGCCGGGCAGCACCAGCCCCTACTACGCTCCTGGTGGCTTTGCTCACACCGCCCTAGCCTGCAAGGACCTGCTGGTGCTCATTCTGATCCTGAAAGCCCACTGACCCCTCCTGCTCAAAGAGAAGGTCTCCTTCCATATGGGGATTCAACTTACTTTCAATCTCTCTTTCTCAAAATGAAGTGGAACCATATGAAAAAACACGGCTTTTTTTTTTTTTATAGAGAAAATGCCAACAATTTCATTTGGTCCACCCTGCACTTTGGTACTTTGGTCTTGCCTGCACCATAATTAATCACAAATATAACTGGGATGTTAGCTGAAGTCATCCTGTGTCCATCTGGATAAAATATGCTCAATTCCCCACTCCACATAATTTGGTAAATGTAATGACTCTCCCAATATCCCAGTATCTCAGTGGGATCCCTATTCCCAGGAGAAGGAAGGAGAGGGTCACACTGTCATCATTACCATAGGATCCACTCCACTGCCTCCCCCACATACCTGGTGCGGGCTCTGCAACCTCCCCCTTGTTCCTTTATCTGCTCTCTCTCTCTCTCTCTTTCTCTCTCCATCTCTCTCTGTCACACACACACACTAAGTTCACTGGAACTTAGTCAGTGAACCCCCAATAAAAATCAGTTATAGTACTTGCCCTGTAACTGATTAAACATCCCACCCCGGGTTATTTACTGAACATAATCACAAACACAGACTTATAGATAGCACAAATGGGCCAGAAGCTACATCTCACATTTGCCAAACTTACTCTTACAGGCCCTTTAGTCATTGACTGAACCAGAATCCAAGCCACTCTGTCCTCTTTCCTCCTCTTCCAGACACACACACACACACACACACACACGCACACACCACCCTTGTCCCAAATGCCTTTCATTCCAGGACAGTAGTTCTCAACCTTCCTAATGCCACGACCCTTTAATACACTTCCTCATGTTGTGGTGACCCCCAACCATAAAATTATTTTCATTGCTACTTCATATCTGTAATTTTGCTACTGTTATGGATCATAATGTAAATACCTGATATGCAGGATGGTCTTAGGTGACCCCTGTGGAAAGGGTCGTTCAACCCCCAAAGGGGTCACGACCCACAGGTTGAGAACTGCTGTTCTAGGCTATCCGGCAATGTCACAGGCACTCCCTGCCCTTGCCTCTGCAGTCACACGTCTGACTGACACACTGTGCATCACCGCCAGTATGTTTTATGGAATCCCCGAATACATTAATCATTACAGACCGTAGCAGTTTAAATCTAGTCACTACCATGTCTTGAAGGGTCAATAAAATTGCCTACGAATTTTCTCCAAGATTCAGGGGAATTAAGGCCTTCGCGGGAAGCATCCCACCCTTACACATTGCGTTTCTGACCATCTCATCATTTTTAAAGGAACAACTAGGTCGTTCTTACCTTCTCCTTCAAACTCTCCTGCGCACCTGTCAGGACACTCACAAAGCCTTCCAAGGAGCTCAGGAACTCCTGCCGAATGCTGGACGCCTCGGGAAGGCCCTCGAGCTCCCCCCAGCCGTGGCTCGTGGCCCTGAGGGCAGGTATGAAGATGTCGGAGAGCAAACGCCGCACGCTGTTTAACAGGCCTCCGTCGGCGGCGTCCAGCATGTTGAAGCTCAGCTCCTGCAGAACGGATAGCAGAGCCCGTACTGTGAAAGGAGCCTCAACGGCATGGCAGCTGCTCAGTCCTTTCTGAATGTCGGTAGTGAACCCGATACCAGGCAAATTATTAGTTCAACAACCTGGTTAAGAAATATTATTCTTATATTCTTATATTACTATTCTAAATTGTAACCACCAAAATGAAAGCAAGAAATGAGTAGAACACCAGGTGTTGACCAGTTTATTTGCTCCAAGAAGCCAAAGTGCCCACGGGGAAGCACGGAAAATGTGCACAGATACACACGGCTTTGCACGAAAATAAAGTGACACACCCACTTCCAGAAATCTTATTATAAATGTATGAAATCTGCCACTGAGTAAATTATGCATGGGGAATTCTTTCAAAAAAGAAGGACCTCGCTGCTAGACACACACACGTAGTGTTCTGTCATTTTTATAAATTGAACAGTAAGTCCTCTTACTCAAAAGATTTAAAGCAAATGTTCTGGGTTTTTTGTTGTTGGTTTTTTTTTTTTTTTTTTGAAGAGAAGGAAAGAGAAGTTTATTATTTTGCAAGCAAAGGAGGAAAAATGGAGGACTATCATCTCAAAGCCCAAATTTCCCTGTTTTTAAAATATTTATTCAAATTTCCTTTTTTTAAATATTTATTGAAGCAAATGTTCTCTTAATTGCTTCCTTTGAGTGCTTAAAAACATACTTCATTGGAAGCAGTTTTAGATATTATAATGAACACAATGGTTGTCTCCACAGCAAGGATGTTCCTGTGAAATTTATGTGATTTGGGTAATTTGGCGTAAACGATTAACTCCTGCCCTTACCCGGTGGATGTTCTCGGGGGTGATGGCTTTGGAAGAGTCGGTCCTGATGAAGAACACGCACACCCCTGTAAGAGCTACATCTTTTCCCTCGGTCACGAACACCTTAGGTTTTTTAGTCTTTCCAGAAACAAGATTCACCCCTCCTGGAGAGCCAAGTTGTCCTACAAATGCAAAGGAATTTCAGTTTCCTGAATATCATTTACAGTCCCCATGGGTGCCTCTGCGAATAAAGTTTCCTTGTTAAAATATTACCGTTGTTGATTTGTCCCTGGGCCCCAGAGGGGTCCACCTTTTGAACAACCTCTAACGTGAGCCTTAAAGGGATCTCAAAAAATAGGCTCAATTCCAGATCACAGGTTCATCTCAAGATTGTTGCTCCAGGCACAGCAAGAACCGGTGAGGGAGAAGAATGTACTCACTGGTGTATCCTGTGTTCCCAGAGCTCTGTGGGTACCGTGGTGCACTGCTAAGACCCACAACCCTGAGGCAGCTGTGTCCTGTTCCAAGTCAAACAGCCAATAGGCAGCAGAGGCAAAGTCAAAAACCTAACTGGGACCGCACACACAGAACCCCTACTTCACCAGCCGAGTCAGCAGAGCTGAGTGGTCCTTCAGGACACCACAGAGCCAGGAGGGAGCAGAGGTGGGACCACGTCCTAACTAATAACAGCACCCTCAAGTCAGACTCAGGACCCCGATCTCGGGCTGCACTTCACAGCCACGTGACCTGGGACGAGTTACTTGGTCCTTCTGTGCCTTTGTTTTCTGATCTTAAAAATGAGAATAACAAGACTAGAACTTAGTAACTGGAATTCTAGTGAAGATTAAATGAGTTAATACATGGAAAACCCTTAGAAAAACACATAAAAATACCAGTTCAGTATTTATTTATTGCATTAGAAAATTCACTTTCAATTGTCCAAGCGTGCAGCTCATTGAGCAGATCACTGAAGGACAGAATACGCTCTGACACACCCCAGTATGTTCTCATCTGCCCAGGAAATGCTATATCTCCCAATGAACTGGCAGCTCAATCAAGATGATTAGGGTGAGAAGGATGGTGTAAATGAAGGACTTCGGGAGGGCAGTGGACTGAAAGCTGAACCCTAAAACCCTGGGATTAGACCTTCTTGGAGGAATCCTCCCTGGGAGCTCCACCCCCTGATGGTGCCAAGCTGGAGACTTCTGACTGGAACTTAGTCAGTGAACCCCCAATGAAAACAACTAGAAGGTCTCTTTCTCTCTCTCTCTCCCTCATTCAAAATTGTGTCCCACTTTTGACTAATACCACCCAAGTCTCATGACTAATAAAAATATTAGACAAGAAATTTCAACCAAAGTACTAAGATACCAAGATATGAAAGATACCAGAAACAAAGAAAGTTTCAAGACCAAAATATAAAGTCCTGCAGAAATTTCCAAGTAGTTTCCCTGTAACTGATACACATCCTGCCCTGCCCCCATCAGGAGTGTAGACTGAGAGAGGAGTCTGTGAGGCCTGGGAAGGGCAGACGTGCCAACTGCCAACCGTCCCTACTCTACCTCAGGTCAGGAACAGATGTCTACAGTCTCAGTCTGCCCAGGACTGATGGGTTTCCTGGGATGTGGAACGTTCAGCACCAAAACCAAGACAGTTGGTCACCCTAGTCAAAAAACAGGGTCTTCAATCCAACCACCTAAAAGTCTGATTCATGTCTCCTGGAGATGAAGGGGGGAAAAATGGATGGAGATATGACACCTACCCATGGGAATCTAAGCACAGTAAGAACACATAGAAACCAGACTGAGCTGGGAGCTGATACACTTCTAGAGATGGTAGGGGTGACACGCAGAGTGTTTCCAGGAAACCAGGTGGGGTCCCACGTAAAAGAGTCAGACTGGAGCCACCTTAAATCCTGCTCGAAAGGAGCTCCTGAGAGATGATGGGAAAAAGCCAGTCTACTACATAGAGGCAGAGGACAACCATTGTGAGGACAGTCCATCACCATGGGAGGCCACTGTGCTCCAGTGGTGACCTGGGGAAAACCCAGGAGGGGGCCTGCAAGAGCAGGCTCAGAGAATACAAAGTCAGCTGACTCACAACAGCACAGTCCAGAAAAGACTTTCCTCCCTCCCTTACCCCTTGTCTCTGCCCTGCCTCGGGCCTGACATAGTCAAGCACTTTGGTCAACCCAACACATACAAAGCACGGAAGAAGAAATGGCACTGGAGGACCACATGCTCCCGTCCCAATGCAAACTTCAACCTTTTTTTTATTTGATATATGATGTTGTTCTTATTTATCGTATGTTATGATCACGCATAATTTTAAAATTTATGTTTATCTCTTCTATTTTAATCCCTGTAATGAGTTGGTAAAAGCACCATTGCCAAGTACACATATACAGTTTTATGTGTTTTGGAGAAGTTGTTTAAAGACAATCCCAAATTATAACTTAGCCTTAGGTAGTAAATAATTCAAAAGTTTAATTTGCTATTTCTTGACATGTTGACTTTTAAAAGCATCTGACCCTACAGATTGTCTATAAAATAAGAGAAGTGTTAAATATTCTTTATTTGACATTATACATAAACCACACTAAAATGTCTTTCAATAAATAAAAGGCAACATTTTAGTAAACCCAAGAAAATGAGATTGACATAGCAAAGACGAAAAATACAGAGTAAACACTGCCACCTTACCTCCAAGCCCTAACCTTTCAGAGGCTAACGAACGCCAGTTAACACCAGCAAGAGTTATTTGGTTCTGAAACAGTGAGGGAATTTCCCCAGTATTTAAATATATTCACGTAAACAGTTATATAAATCTTATTATAAAACCAATCTTCAGTAGGTTTGGGGATGGCAATTTACTACCTTTGGAAAACATTGAACAGCACTAATTAAATCTATTCATGCCTTTAGAAAGGGAAAAAAGTGATAGATTTACTGAACGGGAATCATTGTCAAAAATCAAAAAAAAAAAAAAAAAAACCTCATATTCCTTTAACCATAAGCCAGTCTTAGTTAAATCAGGACTGTCCAAGAAAAATATTCCGTCACTCATTCATGATCTGACCTCTGGTATATGAGACCAATCAAATTATGGTACACATTAAAAAAGCTGTGAGATATTTCTCTTTTGTAATAAATAAGACAGTGCCCAACTACTACTCATTAGTAGCTTTTATGAGATAAGCTACCAAGTCTGCCCTCTCTCTCTTCTTCTTTATGCCAGTCAAGATCATTTTTGTTCCAGGGATGTACGTCTTAGGACTGTCCGAATACTCCGGCAGTGTACCCTCCCCCCAGGGGATGCCTTTGCTCTTATTGGCATCTGTGTAAGAGAAGCCAGCAGCCTGACCCGTCTTCCTCCCACAGAGACCATGGAGACTTGGCCCAGACTTATGCTTGTCACCCTTTTCCACAGTATGGCACACTCCTGAACACTCCTGAACAAAACTCTTCTTGCCTTTCTTAATATCATCCAAATTTAATTCTCTCTTTGGTTGTTGACTGTACGTAAGGCACCAGCCACATACACCTAAGGGGGCGGGTTCGAATCCAGCCCAGGCCCACCAAACAACAATGACAGCTGCAACCAAAAAATAGCCAGGCGTGGCGAGCGCCTGTGGTCCTAGCTACTTGGGAGGCTGAGGCAGGAGACTCGCTTGAGCCCAGGAGTTGGAGGTTGCTGTGAGCGTGATACCATGGCACTCTACCCAGGGGGATAGCTTGAGGCTCTGTCTCAAAAAAAAAAAAAAGAAAGAAAGAAAGAAAGGTTATGGGCTGGAAGCTGGACATCCCACTCTCTGCAAACTTCAACCTTCAAAGGCCCTGGCTGGGGGAATGGAGGTTTGAGGGTAAGTACTGGAGAATTTCACATTTTATCAACTGGACATTTTTTATTTTTGAACTGAGATGCATTGGTAATTTGAAATGACCATAGAAATTACCTTTTATCTAACAATGTCCAGAAATGTCATAGGATTGCCTGAATTTTAACCCAAGGTCAGAAGAATAACTGCCACTGAAAACACTGAAAGTCACAGCAAGAAGCAAAACTAAACTTGCATTTATGTGAACATCCTGTGAACTCTGCTTTCCCGTGTAGAATCTACACAGGAAGACCAGCTTCCCCCAGTGCCCAGTCCCAGGAAGAACTTGATATTGCATTTGAGCTTTTGTTTGCAGTCTGGGACAGAAATCAAGACTCGTTTCTTTCTTTATGCTTAAAACATAATAAACTCTCTGAGCACAAAATAGCAAACTGAAAACTTTGGGGAAATGCCAGTCAGTTTAGAATTCGCATGAATAATTTCTTCAATTTTTAAACCAAGAAGCATACTCTTACTCCACGCCAAGAGCAATAACCTATTTCCCCTTTTTTTCCAGTGGGTCATAAAAGGATGCGAGTGATATTTTAATATATTAAATAATACAGTAAATGCGTATTTACTGATGTTCCTAGTTTGCCCTTAAAAGTTACATTAATCCACTAAAAGCGGAATAGGATATGCCAACTGAATCCATAGAAAGATTTGCAAATTTTTTAACTGAAAACGATGAAAACCATCATTTGATATTACTCATTTAAAAACCGAGTCAATAGAAAATAAATATAATGTGATGTCTAACTGAAAAAAAATCCTGTTATACTCACTGGCAATAATTCCTGTGTTAAAAAGAAATAATGCCTGCATAGAGAAAGCAATGCCCATTAGCAGTTCTAGAACATAATTCCACAGGAGGAACTAGACCATAAGCACAGAAAGCTCCAGACATTCCCCACTTTATTATTCCCTTAATGTCAGCACAGCCTAAGAAGGAAAATAAAACATCCCTAATAAAGTCAGAAGAACCAGACTAAATCCCCACCATTACCTGTCCTGTGTCCTTGTGATGAAGACAGAGCCTTCCCCTGCCCCTGAGCCATCCCACCCCACCGATGGTTCCCTGTGTTGTCACCCTGCGCAGGTGTAAGAGGCCAGTTCTCACGGTGGTTTTCTTCTGCAGGCCACCCTCACGTAACCTAATGACGCGTCTCTGGGTAACGGTACATGAAATTCAGATACCTGTTTCTGCTACCTCCACATCCTGATAGTAAAACATGAGGTGACGGAGACCTCCAGCTGCAAAAAGCTGACCGATTCTTTCAATCTGGGGAGGAAAAAAAGGCAAGGTAATGACTTTTGTTCTAAATCAGAAGCTGTACTTAAAGTCAACGTTGTTAGCACAAAAAAGTGAAGTTACTATCATCTTCCTTCTTCAAACAAGACTGTGTCGGATGCATCTTTCATAGAAGGGAGCACTGTCTTCGACATAAAATGTCTCACCTGGGCAGATTCTGTTCAAAAATGCAATTTGATCAATCACAAGAATATGTGCTACATCTGCACATTTGACAAGGGACTGTCCCTCCATTTTTTGCTAATACCCTAAGGTGTTGAGCCGTTGAAGGCAGATATAAATGTAGCAGAATGTTTCATCTCCAGTCAATAGCAGATCAGAAGGAGAGAATAAACCTTCTTAAAATTCAGTCTAACACACCAGAGATAATTAATATGAAATTGCAATAATCCCTCAAAACTGCCGTAACACGTCTGACTACAAACACTCCCTGCAGTAGCCTCCTGCAACTTAGCCCCACCCACAAGCGTCCCTCTAAGTCCAGGGGTCTGACAACTGCCTGCTACCAAAAGAAGCGAAATTCATGAGAAGACACAGGGTGAAAGCCACACACCCACTAGAACGGCTACCATTAAAAAAACAAAAGGCAAAACACAGCAAGCGTCGGTAAGGGTGGGGAGAAAGCGGACCTTGGTGCCCTGCTGGTGGAAATGAAAAATGGGGCAGCTGCTGCGGAAAACAGGGTAGGAGGGTCTCCAGAACATAAAAAAATGGAATTTCCACAAGATCCAGCCATTCGGCTCCTGTGTATCTAGGCCAGAGAATTGAAAGCGGGGTCTCAAAGGGATATTTGTGCACCTAGGTTTACAGCTGCGCTGCCCAGGATCACTTCCACAAAGCCGGAAGCCGGGTGAATGGATAAGAGACATGCAGTCTCCATATGCAAAGAAATAGCATTCAGCCGTAAGGAGGAGGGACGTTCTGAGTATGAGTGAACCCTGAAAACAGATGCCAAGTGAAATGAGCCAATCACAGAAAGACAAATACTACAGGACCCCACGGTCAGGAGGCACCTGGAGCAGCCACGCTCCTAGACAGGAGGTGCCATGGTGGCTGCCGGGGGCTGGAGGGAAGGGGACCTGGGGAGTTGTGGTTAAGCATTTCTGTTTGGAAGGCAAAAAATTAATAAATAAACAAATAGATACACAGAGTTCTGCAGGTCCATTGCACTGCAAAACAAATGCACTTAACACTGTCAAACTGCACACTTTAAATGGTTAAGGTGGTAAATTGTGTGTTATTATACAACTTAAAATAATCTTTTAAAAAGGCAAAATCTAGTCTGAAATTTTAAGTGTGAAAATAAGTCCCCCCCCCTTCCCTTTCCACCACACTACAGACAAAATGTGGAACTGTTACCCAGGGAGAAGCAGGTGGCTCTGTTTTCTTTGTTACTTTTCCTTGATTGAGGATGAGCAGGAGGGACCCGTCCCGCCAACAGTGCTGTGAGGAGGCTGCCTCCATCACAGCCGGGAATGACCTCCCTTCTCCCCTCCCCTCTAGCCCTGCCTGAGAGCCTGAGCTGGTGCTTTCTTTGAACCTCCAGGTTCTGACTTTCTTGCATCCTGAACTTGAATAGCAGTTTAGCTTGGGATTCGTACAGATCCAAACTTTTGCCCATGGATTCCACCTGCACTGCCCAAAATCTAGATGCAAAATCAGGCGAATGGGGAAGCATTCAAATCCAGCTGTCCAGCATTTCAAATCTTCAGCTGTCTCCCCAAATGACCCTGTCTCAGAAATAAGCCTCCACATTTGGGGAATAATGTTACCTCAGTCCAGATAGGATGAAGATTAAATGAGATCATAAATGAAAAGTGCCGAGAACAGGGACTGATACACCATAAACATTCAAATGTTAGCTATGAGGAGAAGGGCAAGGGGAAGGACACTTCCTCAGCTCCAGAGTTTACATATTTTCGTGTGATCCACCCTTGATTGTTCCCCTGACTCCTGTTAACCCCACCAGAGGAGCTCAGCTGAAGAGGTGGAACCGGTTGGAGGCTAGAGCTGTGTGTAACAGCCCCTGAGATCCAGGTGATCACAACTCTGCAACTCAGCATTCAGTAACCTTGGGATGATCTTAAAACAGCCATCGCAGAAGTATTTACTACCCAGGAATCAGCAAATGCTCAAACTAGTGACTCCTCCCTCCACAACCCTGCCCAAAGTCATTTGTTAAACATCTGCAAGTCAGCCTACCACAGAAAAGGATTCTCAATACAGGGGCACCCTGGCAACCAAAAGGGCTGGCTTGCTTTTCCTAGTGCATAATTAGTTTTCCTGTAATTGTATCACAGGGCTCCTGATATGCCTCTCCCACTGCCCAGGAAATTATATCTGCCCATATTTTGGCCTTCCCCATCCAAAATCAAATCACACCCTGGGTTTTGGAAAGAGATTACACCAGAAAACGGAAGTCAAGGCTAGAGTCAAATAAAACCAAATTCAGCTGCCAAACTGAAGTCAGAGCCAGAAAATCATGGCACAATTTAGTCTCCAATCCTAGAACAAAATCAATGCAAAGACGATTAATCAGCAACGTGAGAAGAGGCCCAACCTCAGCTTCCAAGATGCAAGAGAGCCCCTCTTCATGGGATGTAGAGAGATGCAGACAGAATTGCCAAGATCAGAGTCTTGGAATGACAGTCAGGAGTTTTCTTACCTAATGTGGAGAATGAGAAAGTCCTAAGCTCATTCTGTCACAGAGTCAGAATAAAGCCCTGTCCGTGTCAAAACAGACACCCTCTGAGGCACAGCATGGGGTCTTGCCCCAGGACAGTGTCTGTGCCCTCCACAGTCAGACCAGCGAGAAGTTGGATGCGTCCCACCTGATTCCCGTCGAGAATGGCATCCTCCACTTCGGTTTTGCTCAGGTCCAAACAGGAAGCCACAATGGCAAATAGGTAGTCATGCCTGGCATCCAGAAGAGCCCGCCTGGCTTCCTTCTCTTCCTTTAGTCTTTGCTAAAAGAAAAGAATAAAAATGTCATATGGCAACTGCCCTGCCAAATGGATTTGTTCTGTGATAATTTCATACTATTGTTGTTTTTTCAAGTCTTCCGTGTTCAGAGAACAGACAGCTTAATGGCACAGTTTGTTATGTACTATCTTCTATTTTTAGAAATAATGTTATTTTTTTCCTTATGCAAACAAGGTATACTCACTGTTTTGAAATTGCATAATACTAAGCCAAAAGAAGAGATAAAAATCATCTGCCATCCAGAAATTATTACTAACATTTTTTTCTAAATCTTTACAGATGTATTTCTATGCATATATAAGCATTCATCAGACAAACAAAAACATTCCCTATTTTTATAAACATTTTCCTAAGCCATTAAATTTCTCCGTACTATCTCCTCTCTTTATGTTTTGTCTGTAGGCTCATGTCTGGTCTCAAGATTAATTTCTGAGTACCAGTACTTAACTTTTTAACTATCAGTTGTTAATAATAATAAGGCTTTCTTAATAGAACTGATGTTGGCAGTTTGAAGCATCTTTCTTTATGCTCTATGTTGTTATAAACATATACAAAACATATACAAACATATACATCTATACTTGTATCCTACCACAAATTTTTTGTGCATTTCTCCCTTAACAGAATATCATAGACTTCTTTCCAGTATGTACAGAATATTCCAACTTAATAGCTGCAAAATATTTGATATGGATGTACCATAATTTATTCAACTGTTTTGTCATTGGTGCCAATAGTCTTCTTCCAATCTACTTCTTAAAACAAACTCATTATCCTTAATGCCAATCAGTAGCTCCCACTAGGAAGAGGAAAGGTAGCCCCCTCTGAATCCCTTTTTTAATCAAAAAACATTTATTAAACCCCGAACACATACCAGCACTGTAGCGGCTTACACTACCCAGCAACCTCAAGAAAGCTCACAGTCTGGCTGGTAAGTTGAAAGCTGAAAATGTGGATGGGACAAATGGCTTAACAGTTGCTACAGAAGCATCGAATGTACGAGTCTCCAAATGCAGAAGGCTTTATGGGCCTTTAGAGAAGGTACAAAGAAGAGGCCTCCCACGGTAGCCGGGGGTGGGGGGACAGGAAAGATTTCAGAGGGCAGCAGCTTAAGCCTAAAGTTAAAGGAGGGCTGACCACACTCGAGGACAGAGGCCTTTCTGCACAGGCAAAAGGCGGAGAGGCATAAAGAAAACAGCACATTCTGGAAACCACGAGGCAGTCAGGGTGGCTGAACAGAAAAGGACTAGAAAACATAATAGGAAATGTGGAAAATGTCAGATCATAACAATATTTTGCAAAACAACATTAGAAAGTTTGAATGTTATCTTTGAAAGAGGTTCAGTTGTCTGTGGAAAAATCCATCATTCTGACAGCAGCGTGGAAAGTGGGCTGGAGCGATGTGAACCTGGAGGTGTCAGGTGGGCCGTGGTGGCATTCCCAGACACGGAGACACAAGCCAGGTGGAGACAACACAGCCGTCATGGCCCTTTGGGTGTGTTGCTTGGAGAGGTGAGTCAGTACTCAGAGGGACAGTGGGGGACAGACTGGGAGATATGCACCTGGGGGTCAAGGGGAAGTTGCAGTGCAGACACAGACATGCACAGACATACAGGCAGGTTCTCAGTCCAGCACAAGGACTGTAGTGCCTGGATCATTCTGGGTGTGAGGGGCAGTCCTGGGTGCTCTCTGGGACTTTTAGCAGCATCCTTGGTGTCTAACTCCTAGATGGCAGCAGCCCCACCACCAGGTTGTGAGAATGAAAAATGTCTCCAGGCATTACCAAATGTCCCCTGTGGGATAAAATGACCCCTCTGTTGGGAACCACCAATATGATGCAGACATGGGCACAGGAGACACAGATAAACAAGACTGTCAATCTAAAAGCTACAATCTGAACAGCACCTTTTGAAGTTCTGCAAAACTATGTCAACAGCACTTTCATCCAGCAGGTGGTATGTGCATGCTAAATATTCAGGAAATATTGGTCAAGTAGTTGCATAAGCAAAATTTAAACCACAGCTACCAAAGATAGGGAGATAAAGGGACAAGGAGGAGAAGAACACTGGAGAACTTCAACATGCCAGAAGCAAGAAGAGGAAGAAGTGCAAAGGGACAGGGCTACGTAGGAATGCGCAGCGAGAGACAGCGGGGAGCAGGGAGCAGCATCCGTAAACCAGAGAGTGGCCGGGAGCACCAATGCTACTGAGGGTGGGCCGGGTTCATCCGGATAGCTAGGGACTGTGTCTACAGGTGGCTGCAGCACCACAACTCTTGGGCAAAGTGATTATGCCACGAATCTGTCAAGAAGATTTGCATTTCACCTCCTCTTGAACTTGGCAGCCCTGTGACCAGTTTTCATCAAAAGAAACTGGGGAAAGTGAGTCAATGAAACTTCCTGGGTTAGTCCTTAAGGGATCTCCAGCTTCTGCCTTTGACCTTGGAATGCACCCTCATGATAACTCAGCTATGAGAAGCTCAAGCCGCTGGGGTGACCAGGTAAAGGAGTTACCAAAACTTTCTTGTTAACAGCCTCATCCCCCTCCTAGCTGACTCCAGCACCATCTTACGGCCATCTGAGAAAGCTGTTCTGGAAGGTCCAACTCAGTTGACCCTAGATGTGCCTTCAGCTCAGCCAATGCCATGCCCAGCAGGAGAAGAGCTCAGCTGGGCCCACTCCCTCACAGGATCAAGAGATAATTATTGCTGCACTGGGTCCTTAAACTTTGGTGTGGTTATTATGCAACAATATATAACAATCTTGCTAGAATAATTTTATTGGCAAGACAGAAAAGGAATGAATATAGACTTGAGAAAAGGATAATTAAGAAAAAAGAAATAGAGAGAGACTGAATATAGACAACCCTTTCCAGAAACTTGACTATAAAGTGATTGAAAAGTCATTGCTATATCTGTATAATTTACATTCTGTTCTCTGACCTTGGAGAACTATTTGTGAGATAATTTTGTTGGTGTGGTGGAAGGATAATTAAGGTCTTAAAAAATAAACAATCTATATTTTCTTGCCATTTTTCTAAAAAGAAACCAACAGGTCCTAACATAAAGTATACATTCCATAAATGTCAAACAGGAAATTTCAACTTCTTTTCAAATGTCACTAAAACCAGCAAGATATCCTGTGGTTTTGAACTGTTTTCTACCTTCCTGGAAGGAAAATATAACAGAATTTTCCCTAAGCAATCACTGTGAATTTGTACCGAGTGTCTTTAACAGCTTGAGTACATGGAGGTCAACCAAGGGAGCCACTGATCCAGCAACGAAACAAAGAAACGGCAAAAGCTCGGTAGCCAAAAAATAAAAGAAACGAAATTAAAAGAAAAAAAGTGGAGAGCCAGAAGATTCCACATGTAAAGTAACTGAAGGCTTCCAAATAATCCAGAGATTTAAGTAAGATTCTGTCATGGTAACACACGACTATGACCCAATTAGATAAGATTCCACTGGGAAAAAGAATATTCTAGTAGAGGAAAAGCAAGTTCAGTTCCTGAAACAGAACACTAATTATTCTACTTTTTCTGATTGTCACAGAAGGAAGAAACTTCCAAAGCGGTTTTATATATACAAAGCTCATTATCTACATGTTTTTAAAGTAAATGTTTTCAGGGCTGGGCAAGGTGGCTCATGCCTGTGATCCTCGCACTCTGGGAGGACAAGGCAGGAGGATCCCTTGAGCTCAGGAATTGGGGACCAGCAAGAATGTGTCTCTACTAAAGAAAATAGAAATATTAGCCAGGTGCTATGGCAGGTGCCTGTTGTCCGAACTACTTGGGAGGCAAATGCAGGAGGATCATTTGAACCCAGCAGTCTGAGGTTGCTATGCACTCTAAGCTGGGCAGCAGAATGAGACCGTCTCAAAAATAAACACAAAAAAGTAAATGTTTTCAGAAGCTATATTGATAAGCAAGTTAAGACTTGAATGTATTCTTCCTTAAACTTAGGACTCTGTCACCTGAAGACAAGTAACATGAAGTCTGCCCCGGTGCCATGCAGCTGAAGGGCCAGTGTTCACGAGACTCAATTTTCATTGCATTGCACCAAGGGGTTCTGATAACATGAGATTCATTTTTGACAACCACCAAAAAGTCAATAATGTCAAACAAATATTTGGGGATCAGATCAGTGCATTATCAATTCGCAAATTTAATGCTTTCTGGTTGCTAGGGAACCGCAGCAACAAGCAGTCAGGTGACTAGCAGCCTGGAGCTGGCCTGTCCTGCCGGCCTTGGAAACGTCTTTTCCTTTTTTTCTTCTCTGCCACACACTGGAAGAGTTGTCTTGGGCCATGAAGCATTCAGTACACAAACACTAACAAAAGCTGATTAGTGGGAAATGATCTGGGCATAATTTTCACAATATCCAAACAATACCACAGATTAGCAAAACAGTCCTCACCAATGCTGGGCCACAGGCTGGACACCCCTGGAGGACACTTGGAGTGTGAAGACAAACTGGGATTAAGATTAAAACAGCTCTGCAATTTATGACACAGTGAGTTAGCACCCCCTGGAAATGGGTCAGTGGAGAGTGGCTAATGCACTAACTACCTGATGAGAAGGGAGCACTACCTCCCAGGGGGAGCAATCTCCACAGACAGAGAGCACTGACGTCAGAGCGCGTGGCAGGTCTAGTCCAAGCTCTGCCTCTCACCACGAGACCTCACGTCTACCGTTAACTTCCCGAGTCGCAATCTCTTCAGCTCCAAAATCAAAGCACTGGACGAGGTAACAACTAAGGTCCACTTTTTCTCTAACATACAGGCTACTTCTCTTTGGTTTAAAAGTTAATACAAATTATAATACAGACTTGAGATTGTAAAATACCAACCCCAGTGAAGACGCCAACACTGTGTGCTTGCAAAAGCTCTGTGATTTTGTCCAAAACTGAATGCATTCATCCAATCGTGTTTTAAAGACTAACCTTTGCCTTTAACTCTGCAGAACCGAAGTCCCCGTCTGCAGGTTTATATATACAAATGCTGGATAAACTACACGTGTGAGAAGCTTTTCATTTTGGCTCTAGGTTGATAATCCTTAACTATATGAAGATAAAAGTAAAACGGAGTTACACGTCCCGACTTGAAAGATATTTGTGAGGATTAAATTGCATGTCATCTAGAGCTAACACTAAATCAACCAGCACTTGAATTAAAATGACATGACCAAGGAGTTGACTCTGGACATCAAAACTTAGGTGAAAAAAGAAAGTTTTAAAAATTGTTTGCAATTATACAAATGTTTAGGCTCCCTCCATCCTTGGAAAGTGCTATCTTATTGGCACATTTGTCCCTGGCCCTGACACACCTCACTGACTGTTTTGGCAGCAGCCAGTAGAAGTGGATGGAGGACCGGCCATGGGGCCTCAGAGTCCCTTTGTGGCTGAGCAGGGACGCCCCGTGCCCAAACCCTCCTGAAGGGTGCATTTGGCCCTGTTTTCACAGGTTGCATTGCTAGCTATGCCGTTCAGAGCCCTCTCTGCAAACTGAGCCCCGTTTCCACACCCCAGACAGAGAAAAGTCTCCAACTCTGGCTTCCAGCTTTTCCGCTTCAACCCACAGGGACCCCTTTCCTCTCCTCACCTTTCCGAGGGAGGAGCGGCCGCCCTGGGACTGTCCCAGCCCCATCCTAACCTGCTGTCTGGGGCTGGCAGAACCGCAGTGTGGAAACCCTCCGCCCTCCCTGTCCTTTCTGCGCCTTGCCTTTCTTTTCTTGCTCCCCTCTCATTTCATTTTTCCAGGCGAAGGGCCCCGCTGCAGAGGATGCTGTGCCTCCTGCCCGGATGGAGAGCCCTTCAGTGAAGTGGTCTCCGGAAGGAAAGGAGACTCGTGCTGGCTAATCCACTCACAGCAGGTGCTCCAGTGAAGCCCTCCTTTATTTCACAAGAGCCACACTCCCCCTCTACCTCGAAGAGCCGCCACTTAGAGGACGGTACCCATTCAGCTTCTCGTGTCCAGGAATAAGCTTTGGAATCGTGTCTATTTTCATTGAAGCTTTCAGGGTCCCTAAAGCTTCTTGTTTGCTAACTTGCTTATCTCTCATTCTTTCCGGCAGATTCTCTCCTTAGCATTTAATGTGTGATCATTTTTTCACCCAGGCCAACCTCACATTTGCCATACACACCCCCTCCCACCACAAGCCCCTGCCGTGTTGGCATCCCAGTTCTAACCGAATCCTGTTTTCTGCACACCAGGCTTCCTGAGCCATCTTGGACCTCCACATGCCATATAGTCTATCGTCCCCTCCCCCACTGTGGTTTCACTTTAAAATCAGAAATACCTCTCTTACAGAAATCCGGGACTTCCCTCTGGCAGTACAGGCTGGCTTTAACCCATGTGCTAAAAATATGTATGTCATGATGCACATTCTACATGTCACAGGAGTGAAATTCCCAAACTTCCCTTCCCAACAGAGCAGTGTGCTTAAAACAGACTCCTCCTTAGAATCACCTGAGAGCTTTAAAATACCCATCCCTCAGCCCCCACCTGTAAGGAGTTTTGGTTTATCTTGTCAGGAGGGAGACCCAGGCATTGGTCTATCTCAGAAGGTCCCCCGGCAATTCCCATGTGCAGCCCAGCCTGCGATTGCTGCTTTGAAAGAAGTTGCGATCAAGATTAATTAGTATTAATTGATCGTGATTAATTAGTATGACTAGCTTTCCCCCTGAGACAGGAACTTAACAGAGAAAGTCTAAGGCATAAACTTTGGGTCCCTCGAACCCCAGTCCTCCTCTTTCTCCTTACTGGAATTGTGCAAGAAATGAATGATAAGAAGATCAAATTCAGCTCTGAACTACAGAGGTCTAACAGGATCTTGCCTGCAGTACCACAGAGCACAGCACTGGGTTCCACGTAGGCATTTGAAAGATATTTGTGGAATGGATGAATTTCACATACACAGTCACATTCTCCCAGGGTCTGGCTATGGCATAATTACAATGTGGGCATCTTTGGGTCTTACCTCATTAAGGCTACAGAGTAGTCACTGGGCATTAACAAGCCCCCTCTGCTCCCCCACTTCCCAGCTAAATCCTAGGGCCTTTGGAAATGGTTTTAACCTCCTATGTGTGACCTTTATCAGCTGGACAAAACAGGTCTGGACCTGATTAATACAGAATGCTGAAAATGGTTTGGCTATTTTGCAAGAGAATAACAAAACTGACAACCTTTCAGATTTCAAAAGCTATCTGGGAGCAAAGGTTTTCTTTGTCTTGGCTTCCACTGTGCACCCACTGGAAACAATGGCTGCCCTCCTGCAGAGTCGCTCAGCCAGGGAAGGAGGCAGGGAAGCTCCCTCTCTCTCTTCCTCCTTAACTTCTCCGAGAAGCACTGTTCAGAGAAAACCTGTATCAATTTGAAAGTCTGTGTGCAACAATACTTCCTTGCATAAATACACACAGTATAAAACATGAAGGCTAAGTATTCCTGCAGAGGGGGAAAAACTCTTCTCCACTTTAAAAACCACCCTTGCAATTAGGTGAATTTAACAGCCACGAGGACTATCACATCTCTTTCGAGCTGTTCTTTTCCCTAAAAGTCAACCAGTGAAAATGCAGTTTCATTTTAGGGGAAAAAGAAAACCAGAAACCACAAGTTTGGAGTTCATGTCCACTGTACACATTGTAATTTGGTCCTAATCACTGGTTATGAGAAAAGCTGAGGAAAGGCAGACCTCAGACCTGGACTGTCCTTTTGAAAATAAGTAAGGGAATAAATACAGAATGATTTCGAGTTTTTTCCTTGAGAATGATTTGTGTTTATTATACAAGAGAAAAGATATGGATTGCCTTTTCCAAATCCAGAGAGCTTATGATGTTTGCTTATTAGTGGCATGGATGTTTGTGGGTAAAGTTCATTATTATGTGACAGCAATCTAATTATAATATAGCATCATCACATTCATAATTCCAGACCAAGATTAAATATCTACAGACATCATGGGGGGGGGGTGTTTGTTTGTTGTTGTTGTTTTATGTTAAGCATCTGTGGAATCTTTCCCATTTGTCTTTTCAGGTCACAAAGTTATAATTTAATACACTATTGTATCAGGTGACAAAGATTCTTTGCTTGGTCTACTTCAGTGAGGCCGCTGAACCTTCTCCTAAGCCATCTGTACACGTCCTCAGAAAATCAAGTTTTAGCAAAAAATCCTGTTAAGTCAGTTGAACGAGAAACCCCTCCCCCAGAGGGACTTTACCTAACAAATGCAATCAGTGTAACCTAATGAATCCCAAATAATAAAAAAAAAAGAAACTCCTCCCCCAGCATCTGATGGAGTTCCTCATCTTCCACCAAATCACAGATGTCTGAGCACCTGGCCTGCCTTCAGCAAGAACCCTGTTACGTCAGGTGAGACAGAACCTCCCTCAGGATTGTTCCTCTTAGTAATTTTCCATCCACTGCCCCCACCTGCTCTTTGGCTATAAATTCCCAGTTACCCAAGCTGTATTCAGAGTTAAGCCCCATCTCTCCCCTCTCCTGCCTGGGTCCTTATACATATCGCCATCACCCCAAATAAAGTCTTACTTACCTTGTTTAACAAGTATCACTGACTGATTGTTGAACAGTGTGCTAAATATAAAGCATGTGTAATTATTTACATTCCATCCTGCACTACTGTTAAGATGATTCTGTTACCATCCTACTTTAGTTGAGTGGACCAAACCAGCATGCAAACTACAGCCTAAAGCCTCCCAAATACTTCCTCCCAAAACACAACTCGTCAAAGAAGAATGGCGTACGTTAGTTACACCTGAGATTTTACAATTACTTACAATGTTTTAGAGTTGGCAGCAAAGTATAGGGAAAGTGTTCAGACCTGTGAAATGTCTAACTCATTCCATTGATTCCACAATCATCTCTGAAGGTTCATCACACACCACGCTCTGTGTTAAGGGAAGGTTATCTAACAACGGAGAGGATGCCGTGCTGCCCTCTACTCACAGTCTAGCCTGGGAAAGGGACATGGAGACAAATGTCATTTCATTACGGTGATGTGACAAAGACTTTCTAAGACATAGAAGGGATAGGTGGAAGGGTATATGGAAGGACGCTCTGGCCTCCTCAAAATGTCAGGGGAGGCTTTTAGAGACCGTGACACCTGCACTGGTCTTCAAGAATAAATGTTTGCTGTAAGTTCAGGAGCTTGGCTGAAGAACCTTGAGAAGGATGCATTAGGATTGTGGGGCTTGGACAAGTAGGGGTGGATGGTGGGGGCAAGAGGAACTTAGAAAATGCACACACAGCACTCCTGCTCTTACGGTAAAACCACAGGCTACATGCAATCACACAGGCTGCCAGGGATACAAAAAGATCGAGCCTGGCAGGAAGCACGGTTAATGTTAAAAACGGAGTTCTAGAGAAACCTCCGTTTTCCTTCCGACATTAATTGGCAGTGGAACAGGTTCCAAATCCCTCTCTGTGCATTTGCATAATAAAAAGCTGCTGAGCCAAGCCCCATGCTCGGGAAACTCATTCTTCAACGTGACTTCCAAAGGCACAGCCTTGACCTCAATTCCAGACAGACAGGAGGGGATTTCAAAGAGCCTAAAAAACGTGTAGCCTAGACTCTGCCTGCGCTCTCCCAAATCAACGACAAAAGTTCACACATTCAAAAGAACACACAGTTCCCAAACCACCCAAATGTGTTTTTTGCCCCAGGCAAGCATCTCCCCAAAACACTCCGCATGAATCTCTACTCATAGTTACAGGTGAGTCGGCAAGGTGCAGAAAAACCTAAGGGTGCAGGTCTTTTGTTTTAATTTGAAATATCAACACACAACCTTAGACTCCACGCAAAAATGAGTACACAAACGTGGTTCTCATCAATCCCACTAACTTTGAGCTTTGTTAAGTATTTCTCCATCCAGGTGTGAGAGGCGATGCGAATCCACCACACACGTGCAAATTTACAGCCCGCAGCTCCTTACCGTTAAAACTCGGGTGACACTCTGCTTCCAGAGCTGCCTCCTCCCGCCCCTAAACATCACAGAAGCCTGGGAGAGTCAGATCTTTCAGAATGATCTTCTAACTCCTCGGACCCTTACTCATCACCCAACAGGCTTTAAAATGAAAAGTCGCCTGAAGGACCAGATTTCACTTCTACATTTCTAATTTCAATATGTGCACAGAATAAAAATTAAAAGTCCACCTATACTATTCAAGACTTCCTTCCAGAGTCTCTGCACCGAGCCTCTCCTCTTCCCAAAGCCTGGTGTTGTTAGGGTGATACTGTTTACACACAGTCCAGTATAACTATGCGTCCCATGCATGATTCTCAACCAATCAAAGCATTTTAATGGCTTGGTAGCAACACAACTTCTGATGTCCATTTAATTCCATACGCTGCCCAACAATAAGCTTTGAGTCAATAGAGATTTCTAAATCATTTCTTGGAACAAAGAGAAACTTGAAACCATGTCAAAATCAAAAATAGAGAAGCCACAGGTCTGAGTATATTGCTCAAGTCAAGAAATCCAGTCCTCCTAATCTGAACACCTCAGTGAGCACATTGCCAGCATTGAGAGAAATTGTGACTAATTGCCAGATTGGCTAGTTGTGACCCAAAGGAGCCATTCCCCCCCCATAAAGAATAAGCAGCCCATTTCATATGCAAATAACAAATGAGGTCATGAATCACTTGTGCTCACACAGTTGCTCACACACTAAGCCAAGGTAACTTCTTCTCTGTGGCTAAACACCTTGCTCACCCTTTCTGTAAAGATGTAACGGGATGCCAAGTGCTTTAAGAGATTGCTTACCTGTGGTTACTTTCCTCAAGATGAGTCCAAGACAGGACATTTGAAGCAGGGCTTGTTGAATCAAGGATCAATTCAAGGTCCAGCAACACAAATCCTATTAAGGTCATCTAAAGGTAATCAGGAAATTGGGAACTCATCCTGATAATATCCTGCTATTTGGGCTACCAGACACTAACTTAAAAGCCAGGGTAGGCTCGGCGCCTATAGCTCAACCGGCTAAGGCGCCAGCCACGTACTCCTAAGGTGGCGGGTTCGAATCCCCAGCCCGGACCCGCCAAACAACAATGACGGCTGCAACCAAAAAAATAGCCGGGCGTTGTGGCGGGCGCCTGTGGTCCCAGCTACTTGGGAGGCGGAGGCAGGAGACTCGCTTGAGCCCAGGAGTTGGAGGTTGCTGTGAGCTGTAATGCCATGGCACTCTACCCAGGGGGACAGCTTGAGGCTCTGTCTCAAAAAAAAAAAAAAAGCCAGGGTAATTAGATATCAGAATAAGGGAAATTCACCTGCTGAGAAGCCAACGCTCTGTGTGGCCTCCACTGGGGATTAATAAACAGGCAGCATGTGGGGCTGAATATTACTTGGTAACCAAATGACTAGAGCACGGGCGTTCGGGTTAGTTGATAGGACACCTTTTACCTCTCTGGGTGTGGGTAAGTTACTGTCATCTGTTCAAATTAAGAGTGGTGAAGATGGGTATCTATAAGGTCGGACCATTAAGCTGGTGAACTCGTCCTAGAAAAAGTGTTACAGACCTCGCTGCCGACCGTCACTGTGCACAGCTCCCAAGCCCTCCCCTGGAGAAGCTCTGCACTGACACCAGCACATGGTCCACCCTTCCAAGCAGTTGTGGAACTCTTTCTGGAGTGGCCATCAAAGCTGGCATTATACAAAGTTTGACAATTAAGTTTGCAAATTCAGCCTAGAAAAAGTGCTTTGAAGGCCGGACTAGGTGTTGGTGTCACGGGGTTGCTTACCAAGGGGAGCACTTGGGAGGGGAGGACAGCGATAGTCAGCAATGAGGCATGTCGCACTTTTCTATGAACTTCCTCATTTCAGCAGCAGCCCATTTACAACACACCCCGGGGGAGAGCTATGTTCTGGGAAGATTCCCACAGATGGCTGGCACCAAGCATTCTGTGTTTGGCAGACACAACCCTGCCTCACTGGAGGCTTCATAGCAAGTCTTCCAGCCTCTATGGCTTGATTTTGGTACCCTTTGGGCAAAGTAAATACAGGAGAGATGCCTAAAGGGATCTTCTAGAGTCCTGGGATCCTGAAGCTCTCACTGAGGACTGTCCTTAAGTAGCTCAAACAAAGCAAAATGCCTCCCTTAATCCACATCTGACCTCCTACCCCTCAATCCCTGCCAGAAAGCCAGTTTCTGCCAGTTCAATGAGAGTTATCAAATGCTGCTCAGTAAAAAAGTCAGGAAAGTTGTCCTACAAAGTTTCCACTGGCAGGAACTCACACTGGGATTTCTCCAGCCCAATGCAATTGGACAGTCCACACTTCCAGGACAAAAATATGGGCCATACACAAATCCTGTCAGGCATGAAACTAAAACAAGAGTGGACAATGGGCCCTCGTATATGAAGGAGACTTCTACCAGAAATCCAAGTAGCTTCAAGAAAAGTTTGAAGTTCCATTTTCTTTTTTTTTTTTTTCTGAGACAGTAGCTCACAGCAACCTCAAACTCTTGGGCTTAAGCAATTCTCTTGCCTCACTTTCCCAAGCAGCTGGGACTACAGGTGCCTGCCACAACGGCTATTTTTTTGTTGTGGGTGCAGTGGTCATTGTTGTTTGGCTGGCCTAGGCTGGGTTTGAACCCACCACCCTTGGTGCTGTGGCCAGCGCCATAACCACTGTGCTACGGACACCAAGACCAAAGTTCCACTTTCATTCATTCATTCAACAAAGTGTGTAACTTTTATGGAGCCAGGCACTGTCTTACATACAATAAATAGAACAGATAACAAAAACAGATGTTTACTCAAACATTAAAAAAATATGGGCAGTACCTGTGGCTCAAAGGAGTAGGGTGCCAGCTCCATATAACGGAGGTAGCAGATTCAAACCTAGCCCCAGCCAAAAACTGCAAAAAAAAAATTTTAAAAATATTAAATGTAAGATGCATAATTACTCTGGGAGGCCAATGTGGATGGATCACCTGAGCTCAGGAGTTCGAGACCAGCCTGAGCAAGAGTGAGACCCTGTCTCTACTAAAAATGGAAAAACTAGCTGAGAGTTGTGGCAGGTACCTGTAGCCCCAGCTACTCGGGAGGCCAAGACAAGAAGATTTCTTGAGCCCAAGAATTTGAGGTTGCTATAAGCTATGATGCAATAGCAATCTACCCAGGGTGACAGAGTGAGACTCTGTGCCGTCCCATAAAAACTATACTAAAAAAGATGCAAAATTATTCTATACAACACTCAGAATGAAAAAATAAAGTGTTGTCAATGAAATTTAAATACAACATCCATTCCAAGATGCATTCTGATTTTACAGGGTTAAAATATGAAAAATGTACGTCTTACAATCAACGAAAAATTAGTCATTCCTGTCCTTACTGGACGCAGATATTAAACCAATAACATATAAAAAAAGTATTATTATAAATAAAATATTATAAATTATATAAAGTATCATTTTAAAAGAAAATAAGGTATAAGCTTTATTTGAACATAGGTTCTGAATTATTACCTTCTTATGCTTGCACACCAAAGTGTACAACTTCCTAAACTCATCTCTGTATTATGAGGTCACCTACTTTGGGCCTTGAAGCCTTTTACATACAATATAGCAGAGCTGAAAAGTGCAACTCTGGAGCCAGACAGACCCGGACTTAGATCCTACCTGGGTTCCCTTCTAGCTAAGTGACATCATGGCTTTTGTTTCCTATGCCATATGTTAGAAATAAAAACACCTACCTAACAGACTAGTGATGATTAAATATAATTAAATCTCATGGATTCTCATAGGCACCTAATAAATGCAAGACATAGCACATTTGGTTATTTGCAAAAGAGCTGTGGCTATAATTACTATCAATATCAATGTAGAGGACAAATTCCCCAAAAATGATCTTAACCTAGCCTACCAATGTTAGTCTAGGCCTGTTTGGAAATTTTGCTATCGACTTCCGGTTATGTCCCAAGAAAAGAGTGTATGCAAGTTTTATCGATTACCATCTGCACATTTTTCATGGATTCCCTTTTCTGAGAATGTCTTACAAGGCCCAAAAAACTCAAACACATTCATCAGTTTTATGGGTTTATAACCATATTCCACTCATTCTGAGCTATACATTTTTTTTCAATGTTAACCATATTGGAATTGGACGCATCTTACACCCAATGTCCCCCCACACCTGCTCTTGATCAGAAAGCAATTTTGACATGAGCGATTGGCAACCCCTATGCAGACACAGCTGTCACCCCAAGTGGCTCAACAGGCCACTGTAGCACATTGATGTTACAGTCTACAAATCATGGACAGTCCATTTGAGAAGGGAATATGTGTCCTGGGAGTTTTCTAAAAATCTTCACTGACACCTTCTGGGAAGATCAAGAAAACACCAACATTGCAACTTACACAATGGGTGTTAGTAGACTACAAGAAAATCCAGGGAAAGTCTGACCCTAAATGTGAAAGCATTTTAGAAGTCTCTTAACTAATTATTTGCATTTGTCTTTGTATGCACGCACAGGAGTGATACCTGATTTTATTTTATTGTTTGGGATTCGTTGAGGGTACAAGGAATTAGGTTACACTGATCACATCTGTTAGATAAAGTCCCTCTCATAATTTATCCCACCCCTAAGAGGTATGGCACACACCATGACCCCCCCATTCCCCTTCCTCCCCCCTGCTTGTATACATGATTTTTTAAAACAATGTTCAAGGTGAAAAGAGTGTTTCTCATTAAAATCCTAAGAATCCAATGCATTCTAGTTTAATTGACAGCTTTTCTTTCTCTTTTTCTTTCTTGTGATGAACAACACAGTGGTGTGTTTCTCATCTGATGATGACTTAGTTCAGATGAAAAACAATTCTGTGAGCTCTACCAATCAATGAAAAGTTCTTAGACAAGGTAGAATTTAAGGCAAGCCTTGAAGAAGGGTAAGATTTAAATGAGTAAATAGGAAAAGGTAGGGTGTAATATATGTGGAAAATCATAGAGGTTGGATCCGAGAGAGCCTCCTGTGCTTCATCTGTAAGGGAAATGACAGGTTAATCTCTGAAAGGTATGTTGACATTGAACAGTGGGGTAACCCAAGGTGGCAGCCCTTGCCTTGGGTTTAAAGGGCTGTCGTTAAAGAATAAACTTAGGAAAGTCTTGTGTAGGAGCATTATACTGGTAGTTGTATGCAGGAGGGACTGAAGCAGAGAGATTAAAAGAGGATGATGGACATGAAAAAAGAAAGGATTCAACAGCAGGTGGAAATCATGGTCACCCAAGCCACCCCCAAATGAACAAACATGTTAACATGTAAATGAGGCAGGTCCCACTGTCCCCGTCCAATATTTTGCTACTCTTACATAGAAACCCTGGTTGAATGGGAAGGAATAGGGAGAAAAAATCTTGAAGGAAGGAAGGAAGGGAGGGAGGGAGGACGGGGGGGAGAAGAGAGGGAAGGAGAGAGGGAGAAAAGAGGGAGGGGAGAAAGGAGGGAAGGAAGGAAGGAAGGGAGGGAGGGAGGACGGATTCCATTTTAACAGCCTATAATGAGGGAGGGAGGGAGGGAGTGAGGGAGGGAGGAAGGAAGGAAGGAAGGAAGGAAGGAAGGAAGGAAGGAAAAAGAAGAGAAGGAATTGGACAGCTGGTAGTAGAGGAAAGGAGTTGTCAAAGATGATTCTCTTTTTCACAGCTTGGGTAAAGAATCATAATAACTCAAGCAGAACTGAAGGAATTGAGAGAAAGGGTACACTTTTGAGACTCAATAACTTAAAAAATGTAAATAGAAATCTGATTCCATACTTTTCCCTTGGCCTTTCCGTCTTGAAAACATGAAGATGGGTAGAATTATAAATGAGGCCAGAAACATGCAGTATCTTTTTCTTTATTATATCATAATAAAAAACTCATAATAAAAAAGAAAAGGTTCA